TCTCTCTTGGGTGGGCACATGCACCCTCTAGCACAAAAACCAAAATCAAACCAAACCCTGCTGCACTGTAGGTGCTCTATATTGCATGCATATCACGTTAAATAGTTTGCCGGTTGGCGAGCATTAAGTTTTCCCTTTGTAAGTATTTTCGGGACCAGCAGTTGTTTTTTTTTAATGAAAAAAATATATTTTTTAAATTTGCTATAGGACATGTGTGCTACAGAGAGAGAGGGAAAGTGAGAAAGCAAGCCACCATGTCCAGGACTTGAACCATGGTCAGCTATGTGGCTGTTTAGTGCCTTAAGCACTATGCCATCTCCTGGCCCCAGCCAGCAGTTTTCTTTTGGAGAGGTTTTTGCTATAGGGCGTGTGCGCTCGCCAGACAGAGACAGAGAGATAGAAAGTGAGAAATCACCCCCCCGGGGGGATGGTCACGCCACAATCCCTTCTCCTCCATTCTCCTCTTGGGATCTTGGGCACACACGCACATGTGCCCGACGTGAGTTTTAAGCCACCGGGTCCGGGACGCGAACTGTGGTCGACTACGTGGGAGTCCAGCGACATAGCCATTACGCTAACTGCTAGCCAGTGGTTTTAAAAACAATTGAAGTAGAACTATATAGATCAGTCTCCAATGATTAAACTTGAAATAAATAAATAAAGTAAATGAATATAGTAATGGCTATGTCACTGGACTCCCATGTAGTTGGGTTTGAGTGCCAGACCCAGTGGCTTAAACTCATGCCGGGCACATGTGTGTGTGTGTACCCAAGATCCTGAGAGGAGAATGGAGAAGTAATTGTGGCAAGGCCATCCCCTGGGGGGTTGGGGGGGAACTTCTTGCTTTCTGACTTTCTGGCAAGCACATGTGTCCTATAGCTAAATCCTCTCAAAAAAAAAAAGTATTTTAACATAGCTGACAATGCTGCTGTGAATATCTTGGTACATGCCTTTGTAAATAAATATAGCTGTCAATAAAGTGGTATTATTGTTTTGGGGGACATACACAGTTATGATACTACCAATGCCTTGTAAAAGGAGCAACGTCACTTTTTCTTCCAAATGTAATTAAGAGTAGTCACCCACCAGGACAGCATGTGGCATAAAGGTTAAGGTGGCTGAATCCCATATAGCTGACTGAGAGATTGGAGTCCCGGACCCCGTGGTTTGAAAATCACTCTAGGTGCATGTGCATGTATGTCCAAAATCTGGAGAGGAAACTGGAGAAAGGATAACAAGAGTGACCATCCCCCTGGAAGGGGGGTTCTTTCTCACTTTCTCTTTCTTCCTGTCTCTGGCCAGCACAAGCACCCTGTAGGAGTAGCCATGTTGCCCATCACAGGCCTCCTGGATTAAATTACCAATCTCCAAATTGCAAATCCGCTGTCATTAGCATTTAGCCTTCTAATCACCTAGAAAAAGCAGATCTTAGTCTAGCCCTTTAAAAACTTTCTTTTTTTTTTTTTTGAGAGGTTTTTTGCTATAGGGCTCCTGGGCTCACCAGACAGACAGAGACAGAAAGGGAGAAATCACCCCCCAGGGGGGGATGGCCACACCGCAATCCCTTCTCTTCCATTCTCCTCTTGGGATCTTGGGCATGCACGCACACGTGCCCGGCGTGAGTTTAAGCCACTGGGTCCAGGAGGCAAACCGCGGTTGACCGCGTGGGAGTCCAGCGACATAGCCATTATACTAACTGCTGGTTCCCCCTTTAAAAACTTTCTAAGAGCTCTTCCTTACCTTACCCCAGGAAGTAAGAGCTGATTTCTTTCTTTCTTTCTTTCTTTCTTTCTTTCTTTTTTGAGCGTGGCTTACAGGATCTTACCTCTTGGAGTTTCCTTACTTCAGATAACTTTTAGAGGCGTTTATTCTGTAGGCAGAGTTCCTTTTCATGCCCACAAAGCCCCATGACGCCTGATCCATGGTTTTGGGACCTCCCACGGGGGCGCAGCGCCCCTGCCTGATGAATGAGTGACCAAGCATCTTGATTCTTTCTGACCCCAGCCCTGGGAGCTCAATCTATACCAAATGAACGGGGCTGATGCAGGGGTGGTCTTGAGGGGACCAGAAAGGGACTGCCATCTCTCTCCTGGGCCTCCAGAAAGGGACTGCCATCTCTCTCCTGGGCCTCCAACGTCATCAGGAGCCTTGCCCTGTGCAGGGCAGCGACCCGCATGGCCTGGTCACACTCGGCTGCTGCCAGCGCCCCTTTCTCCTGCCAGCTGGGGCCAGGGCCGCCTGCTTGGATTCTCTTTCCAACCGAGACACTCCACGTGCTTCATTTCCAAAATTCTCAGTAAATATTAACGGGGCTCTCCAGCTTGGTCACATGCCTGGAATAAGAACGGATCAGGGCGTGCCTATGCTTAACTTGTAGGAACCAATCTATTTCCATATGAAATGCACCTGGTGACCAATAGGGGGCCTAACCAAAAAACGAAGGGACATGGACCGAGCAAGCCCGGCAGTCACTTAGACCCCGAAGAGACCTTTGGGATATCTGTACAGAAGCTGAGCTAGTTACCTTTAAAAGGCATCACCACATTTAGAACGAAGCCCCCCCCCACACCCACAGCAGTTGGAAAGCTCAACGACAATGGTGGTGACGCACGGGATGTGGCACCAACGCCCCAAACTGCGCGGAGAACGTACATACTACGGTTCCTCAGCAACAAGAGAAAAGGAAACCTCATTAGCACACCCCGGGGCCGATCGTCCGGGCAACCCGCGGCAGGACTTGTCAAGAAACAAACGAGCAGAAATGCACGCTCTCAAACTCGAGAGTCATTTTCACATGGGACCTTTGCACAGGATCTTGCGTGCACAACGGGGCTACTTTCTTCTCTGGCCTTCCTTTCCAACAATAGCGTTGACTAATGTTAAGAGCCAGCAAGTGCCCTTAGGCTATCGGTTGGAAGTAAAGCAGAAAGTTGTTATTACAAGAAGAAAAAAGAGACCGGTACTTGATTCCCCAGGTGCAGGACTGTGGAAAGGCGGGAAGGAGGCCTCCAGGGACGGACTCAACAAGTAAGGGAAAGAAAGAAAAGCCCACAGAAGCCAAATCTGTAGAGCCGGGTAACCGCCCGGGAGGGCACGGCGGCCCTGGGGCACTGTCTCGACAGAGCCGTCCAATCCGCTGTCAATCAGTGTCTTTCGGTCTTACTATTGGCCAGGAGCTTCTTCGGCCTTCCAGATTTCCACCTCCTAGTTGCTTGGGGTTTACTTCCCCAAAGTACACGGGCCCCACCTTGTGGAGCAACCGCTCCTGCAGAGAAAACTGGATCTCCGCCCCGGGAAGACGTTTTAACGAATGAGAACAGCTCCACACACTTATTGGCTGCTATGGATATCGGTCAAAGAGCTTCCCACCCTCCTTCTCACTGTATTTTCCAGTTATTGGTCCCTCTTTGTGCCAATCCGTTACTAGGACAACGAGATCTTCACCGTCTCATAGGCAAAAATCAAAGCCAATCAAGAGCCACGCCTTCATCTTGAGTCAGCACCCAATTACTGTTCGAAGACCCCGGAGGACGCAGTCGCGATTGGCCATCCTCTCGCCCGACCTGGCCACAACAAGTTAGGCTGAGTCGCAGTTATATTCACCGGCGGCGGAGCACGCGTGTGTGCGGACGCAGTTGCGTGAGGGGTTTCTGTCGGTCTTACGTACTGTGGAGCAAAGCTTGTTCCTCTCCCACTTAGCCGCGCAGGTACGCTGGGGTGTGGGCCGGGCAGGGCGGCCTGAGGACCAGGTCTACCTGAGGCGGTTGTGAGAGGGACAATTCTGAGTTGCGCCCGTGGAGGCCTCGTGAGTGCGTCCCCCAATCCCCATCCCCACATTCTCTTTCCAACCGAGACACTCCACGTGCTTCATTTCCAAAATTCTCAGTAAATATTAACGGGGCTCTCCAGCTTGGTCACATGCCTGGAATAAGAACGGATCAGGGCGTGCCTATGCTTAACTTGTAGGAACCAATCTATTTCCATATGAAATGCACCTGGTGACCAATAGGGGGCCTAACCAAAAAACGAAGGGACATGGACCGAGCAAGCCCGGCAGTCACTTAGACCCCGAAGAGACCTTTGGGATATCTGTACAGAAGCTGAGCTAGTTACCTTTAAAAGGCATCACCACATTTAGAACGAAGCCCCCCCCCACACCCACAGCAGTTGGAAAGCTCAACGACAATGGTGGTGACGCACGGGATGTGGCACCAACGCCCCAAACTGCGCGGAGAACGTACATACTACGGTTCCTCAGCAACAAGAGAAAAGGAAACCTCATTAGCACACCCCGGGGCCGATCGTCCGGGCAACCCGCGGCAGGACTTGTCAAGAAACAAACGAGCAGAAATGCACGCTCTCAAACTCGAGAGTCATTTTCACATGGGACCTTTGCACAGGATCTTGCGTGCACAACGGGGCTACTTTCTTCTCTGGCCTTCCTTTCCAACAATAGCGTTGACTAATGTTAAGAGCCAGCAAGTGCCCTTAGGCTATCGGTTGGAAGTAAAGCAGAAAGTTGTAATTACAAGAAGAAAAAAGAGACCGGTACTTGATTCCCCAGGTGCAGGACTGTGGAAAGGCGGGAAGGAGGCCTCCAGGGACGGACTCAACAAGTAAGGGAAAGAAAGAAAAGCCCACAGAAGCCAAATCTGTAGAGCCGGGTAACCGCCCGGGAGGGCACGGCGGCCCTGGGGCACTGTCTCGACAGAGCCGTCCAATCCGCTGTCAATCAGTGTCTTTCGGTCTTACTATTGGCCAGGAGCTTCTTCGGCCTTCCAGATTTCCACCTCCTAGTTGCTTGGGGTTTACTTCCCCAAAGTACACGGGCCCCACCTTGTGGAGCAACCGCTCCTGCAGAGAAAACTGGATCTCCGCCCCGGGAAGACGTTTTAACGAATGAGAACAGCTCCACACACTTATTGGCTGCTATGGATATCGGTCAAAGAGCTTCCCACCCTCCTTCTCACTGTATTTTCCAGCTATTGGTCCCTCTTTGTGCCAATCCGTTACTAGGACAACGAGATCTTCACCGTCTCATAGGCAAAAATCAAAGCCAATCAAGAGCCACGCCTTCATCTTGAGTCAGCACCCAATTACTGTTCGAAGACCCCGGAGGACGCAGTCGCGATTGGCCATCCTCTCGCCCGACCTGGCCACAACAAGTTAGGCTGAGTCGCAGTTATATTCACCGGCGGCGGAGCACGCGTGTGTGCGGACGCAGTTGCGTGAGGGGTTTCTGTCGGTCTTACGTACTGTGGAGCAAAGCTTGTTCCTCTCCCACTTAGCCGCGCAGGTACGCTGGGGTGTGGGCCGGGCAGGGCGGCCTGAGGACCAGGTCTACCTGAGGCGGTTGTGAGAGGGACAATTCTGAGTTGCGCCCGTGGAGGCCTCGTGAGTGCGTCCCCCAATTTTTTCGCGGGGCGGGAGCGAGCCGCGGCCGCCGCCCGAGCCCCAGGGCGATCTCCGGGCCTTTGGGCCCCCCGCGCGGAATGCTGGTCAGCTTTTCCCGCCCGGCTCTCTCCGCCACGCGCCAGCAGAGTCTTTCTTCTTTTGGCCCAGGGGCTTCAGTCTGGCCCTGCACCAGGAGGAGGCTTTCATTTAGGGATGGGAGCAGCGCGGTAGTTCAGCAAGTCTTTCGGATCGCAAACTAAAAGAGCCGCAGCTCGGTTATACAGGGGATGGAGAAGGAGCAGCGAGTGCATGAATAACTAGCAGTAATATAACTAATGTTCTTCCAAAGTCCTCACTGCCCAGCGCTGAGCTGAGCTACTTGCCGGCTCTCAGTTAATGCAACGACCCGACACGGTAGGTACAATTATTATTTCACAGCTTCGGAATGACTTGGTCAGAGGCACGCCGACGGCAAGGGGTGAGAGGTATTTGTACCCAGGCTCTCCAACTGCTAGCCCCCCAAATCTGCTTTATTCTTTGCCTCCGTTCTTTGCAGCTACAGGGCACTTTTGCCCCCAGAGCGCCTCTGGGGTAGTATCAGCCTCGGAAGGCCTACGGTTGGAAGACTGCAGCGACATTTGTATTTATGCCAGTTATGGGCTTTCACGGAGTCAGTGGTTGGAAGTGGGACTGGGACAAAGGAAAAGGGTTTTGGCTTTCTTAGTACATGGATTCGTACAGATAGTTGCGAGATGTGCAGCCGTGAGAGTTTCTGGAATATGTAGAGAAAAAAATGAGTTAAATGCAGAAACATGGTCTGTGTTCCTCACTAGGTTTGAAACCTATAGCATGGTGATGGGAAATTCCTGCTAGCTAGAAGTTAGGTTCTGATGTTGTTAGACTTTGGATCTTTTTTCCTTTATTTTCTTTTTTTCTTCAGTGGGAGCAGATTTTGGAGAAAACACTTTAGTGAATATTAAATTTACTCATATAGTTGAAGAAAACGAGGTCCAGAGCAATGAGCATCAGATCTCACCAGCATCTGTGGGTATGGAAAGGTGGTCGCCCAGTTAGAGTATAAATTTGATCTTTTTGGAGCTAGCTAGGTGAGCTACTGGCCAGTGAAATGTTGGAAAGAACACTTAGGGAGGGCAGTTGGAATTTTTTGTAGATGAAATTCCCCCTACATTTGTTTAGCATTTACTCTGCTAGGCTCCTGTGTATATACGGTTATGAAGGTCATGCCTTCTCTGTTTTCAAGGCATTGCATTGAAATTTTTCGGGTGGTAGAGTTCCCATATTTTAGATGATTTTAAAGCCAGTATTCTTCCTTTGGCTATTGAAATAATTGTTCCCAGTTGGCATGTCCAAGTCATTAACTTTACATCACAAAATTGCCATAAAAGTTTTGGGAGTAACTCTCCTGAATTAATTTAGAATCGGATAGCTTTCATCTTTTATTATTATTTTTAGTTTGAACTTCTTTTGGTATAGTATCTCTTCTGTGCAGTTTTAGGGTAGATCTTTAGATTTTTGTGTGTATAAGAAGGAACAAAATGTATGTTTTTGTAAACAGTGAGGAAATTTAGTGTTTGTGCTTTTCTTTACCAAGTGGTTTCCAACATGGTTCTTAAGGAAAACAAAGTAGCAATATATAAAGGATCAGAATATTGTTGAGACAAGTTCCTATTTTTGTTGGTGGTGTAGCAGATACAGTTTGCTTTAAAAGTAACAATGTTTTACTTGGAACTTGCCTTGTAGCTATCCCAGTTATTTGAATTTTATTAACATTTTGATTTAAGATGAGAAATTTAAGTTTCCAAAACGTACAACACTATATAATGAGCTATATTTAAATGATAAAGTTTGAATCCAGCTGATTTTATTGCCGCTTAAGGTAAAATACTTCAGAATTATATATATTTTTTTCTTTTTTTTTTGGAGAGATTTTCACTGTAGGGCGCGTGCGCTCGCCAGACAGACAGAGACATAGAGACAGAAAGCGAGAAATCACCCCCCAGGGGGGATGGTCACGCCGCAATCCCTTCTCCTCCATTCTCGGGATCTTGGGCACGCATGCACACGCGCCCGGTGTGAGTTTTAAGCCACCGGGTCCGGGACGCGAACCTCGGTCGACTACGTGGGAGTCCAGCAACATAGCCATTACGCTAACTGCTGGTTCCCTATATTTTTCTTTTTTTATAGAATTATTTTTTAATTTAATTTATCCATTCTTAATTTGACCAGAGAGAGAGACAGTGAGAAAGACAGGGGAGGTGAGAAAGCAAGCCATCAGGTCTGGGACTCAGATCTGTGGTCAGCCATGTGGGAGTGTCCAGTGTCTTAACCACCATGCCACCTGATGGTCCTCATCACAATTATATTTAGCATTATGTATTAAAGGACAGTTTGTTAATTTTTCCTTTAGATATTAAAAAAAATACTGTTCTTGGCCACAGGCAACAGTTTTCAGTTGGGCCAGGAGCATGAAAATTCTGTAATTTTTATAAATTGGTATCCTAACTGATCCCATGTGTGTGTTCATTTATCAAGAACATGTGAATTTAGGCAAATTGTGGTAATCTAGGACTTGGGCCGCCCTAATTCCCAACTAAATGATAGGATACTGTTGTTGGAGTTCAGTCTTCTCAATCTGAGTTTTTGTGCTCTTCCTAACAGGTAAAAAGTAGGTAGTATTTTGTTCTTTATTTAACTCAAACTCAGTTTGCTGTTCTCAGCTGATAGTCCATTAAAGGAACATTAGATTTTAGTATAGGTTTGTGAATGTATATGATTCTTAGGATAGGGAGGGCCAATGTCAAATTTTGTAGTCTGAATTTGTGACTAAGATTTTTTCTTTATTTTTGTAAGTTTATTAAAACTTCCCACATGGTCTTTGACCATTTTGCAAATTGTGTTGGTTTTCTAAAATTTTCAGAATTCAAGTAGGCATTGCATGTTGTTTAATTTTATTGTGCCCTAGAACTGCCTTGGACCAAACTGTAACATATTTAAATTGTCAAAGTGCATAGGCCATAAAAGAAAGTTTGTGTGTCATTCCTCTCACCCCCACCAAGTCAGTTGTCAGCAGCTTGTAGGAAATACTGTCCTTCCAAGCCCTGGAGTTAAATTTAGATTCAGCAACTGTAATCTTATAGTTGGTGATCACATGGTGGTGTTGAACTAGGTTTATATTTTATAGCTCAAAATCAGCTGTTTCCTTTTAAAAAAAAAAAAGTTCTTGGGCACCCTGTCTGACCTTAATTGAAAAGCTGAACCGAAAGGCAGGTAATGGTGTTAAGAGATAGAAATAATCCACACATGAATAACGGAGTCTGCTTTACAAAGCAGAGAGCAGTTAAAATATTACTATTTTTCCTCACAGGGTGTGGACTAGTAAATGTCTATAGATTAATTGATACATTCCTCTGTATTGTGTGTTCATTCGCTCATGTTGTAACATTGCCTAGCTTTTCATTGTCTAGCTGTGCTGTGCTGTATTTTCTTTTTTAATGTATTTTGAGAGATTTTTGCTGTAGAGTGTGTGTGCGGTCACTGGCGAAGCGAGAAATCACTCCCCGGGGTGATGGTCACACCACAGTCCCTTCTCTAGTCTCCTCAGGATTTTGGTCACACTCTCACACAAACCTGGTGTAAGTTTAAGCTGCTATGCTGGGACTTGAACCGCAGAGTCCACTGATGTAATCATTATGCCATCTGCTGATCCCTATGTGCTGTATTTTAGATATTTAATTAAAAGATTGAAGGTACCAGGAGATGGTTATGTCGCTGGACTCCCATGTAGTGGACCATGGTTGGAATCCTGAACCCTGTGGCTTAAACCCTTGCCAGGCGTGTGTGTGCGCGCACGTGCGCGCGTGCATGTGCGCCCAAGATCCCAAGGGGAGAATGGAGGAGAAGGGATTGTGGCGTGGCCATCCCCCCTGGCGGGGGATTTCCCTCTGTCTCTCTTTCTGGCGAGCACTTGTGCCCTATAGCAAAAACCTCTCCAAAAAAAAAAAAAAAAAAAGATTGAAGATGATTCAGAGAACAAAATCTGGCTGCCTGTATGGGACACATCTACATTATAGGAATATGATCTTTGGTGCCTGTTAAGTGACTATATATTGATGTCATGGTCTATTTGTATATTCCTTTGCAAATTTTTTAAAATTTAGCTTTTTTCTTCTTATTTTCCAGTTTAATCAGAGAACGAGAGAGAGAGAGAAAGAGCAAGCCACCAGATTCGGGATTTGAATAGCGTTGGCCATATGGGAGCCCGACACCTTTAACCACCATGCCACCTGCCATTTCCCCCCTTGCAAAATTTAAAAGTTCTTTCATACATCTTGGGTATTCTCATACACATTTTTTAAAAGTTTTATTTATTCCATGAGCAGACCATTAGTGGTGTAAGACCCTTTTGGTCTTTGTTCATGATACTCATGGGTATTTATTGATGGTATTTATTCATGAGAGAGCATGTACATATGTATATGCAAAAGAGAAGGGGATTGGTCCATAGGGGCCAGTCACACCATAATCCACTTTTTCTATCCAGTAGCCTGTTGGATGTTGGACACCTGTGTGAGTGCCTGGCACATTTCAGGCTGACTGGACTGGAAATTTTTTGGGAGGGTTCATTTGTTTATTTATTAATCTAGTCTTTTTTGTTGTCAGCTTCAAGCCACAGGGTCTGGGACTTGAACCATGGCTGGCCATGTGGGGATCCTACAGAGGATCTTAACCACTATGCCACCTGCTGGCCCTGGACTGGAAGTTTGAACCTTGAATGCCATCTGGAATACAGCTTCCTTTGAGCAATGGTGGCTGCTACTGAACCATGGAGATGCTACAATCCACTCCCAGCCTCAGCAGGTTCCAGATCATAGGCACACATGTATCTGACGTATGCAAGGAAGTCTCTGAACATGAACTGGGAGCCTTTCCATTTGGGTCAGCTTCACGGAGCATAGTATCTGTACTGCTGTGTCCCACTGTCTGGCCACATATTGTTATATTTTTACTGAAAAGAGAACTGAACCCCAGAAACTCAAATACTTAGTAGTTCAGAACTATTCAGTCATCAGGAATGTCATGATGCATTTTCACATAGAAAAGTACATCAAGTATTTGTTCAGAGAAGTCATGACGTATGTTTTCTTTTTTAAAATTTTATGGAGAGGTTTTTGCTATTAGGCGTGTGTGATCGCCAGAAAGACAGAGACAGAAAGCAAGAAATTATCCCTGGGGGGGATGGCCACGCCATAGTCCTCCATTCTCTTCTCAGGATCTTGGGCACACATGCACATGCTCCTGATGTGTGTTTCAGCCACTGGGTCTGGGACTTCAACCGCCGTTGACTACATGGGAGTCCAGCGACATAGCCATTATGCCAACTGCTGTTCCCTATT